CGGACGCTTTTGCGAGGCTTATATCTCAGCAACCACTTGACCGATTTACACGTGGTAATTTTTGTAGGGTAGCTTCATTCCTTCTACCAAGTATTGGACTATTCCCGATGCATGTGGGTGACCCCTTATGCACGTGCCACGCGCAAAACGAAGAGGTGTCAGTTTTGTAATTGTTGCAATATCTCGGTAACTACTTGGCCGATTGCGCTGAAAGTTGGTATGTAGGTAGGCACCCACTAGGCACTGCAATTGCATATCCATGTGCCAGAGTTGGGGTGCCGCTGCACGTGCGCACGTGCAGGGGTCGTTTCCAGATCTCGAGAGCGGCTGGACCGATGGCGCTCAAATTTGGTAGACGGTTAGGGACCAGTTAGTAGGGTGCCGTGCACAAGTCAGTTGGGACCCATTCTGCACGTGCGCACGTGCAGGTTGCCGCTTCCAGATCTCGAGAACGGCTGGGCCGATTGTGGTCAAATTTGGCACATCGCTAGAGACCGGTTAGTAGGGTGCCGTGCACAAGTCAGCTGGAGGTACCCCGTCGAAATTTCGCACGTGCAAGGCTCACCCTCTCGCTCGCTCCGTTAGTCGCCCCAAAAGGCGCTATACTGGTAATATTACTGACGTATAGACAGACTGGCCACAATCAAATTCAAGCATGCCATCACAGTTCACATGCAATACCCATGTTTATTTAGGGGAGAAGGTAAAGTATAGGCGCCAAGGTTGGTAGTTGGTAACCTGTGTATCGATATACTACTTATATAAAATCCACCAATCTCATTCAATCCACCCACCATCCGTATTTTCCTCCGACAACCCAGAGTTCGCTTCTGTTCCGGCAGAGTTTCACGGCCACCGGCACACGCGGGAACCCCAGACCGTAAATCACCGTGTGTTGACAGTCCCTCCCCGCCGGTCGGCGCGACTCGCGGGTTTTATTACATGGGGGAACGGCAGGGAACGAGGCGGAGACCCATACGACATCTAGCGGCACTCAATTGAACCAACAAAACCGTCAAAAAGTGGATATGAATCGGGCTTAATTCCAGTCACAGTTCAGATATTTTTGAAAAGTAAACTGCATTTTTTTGTGAAGAAATGTTCTGTGCACATTTCTATGTAGCCGGTTTTTTATTTTATGCCTCACACAAAAAATGAAAGATGAGCAAAGTTTTGCTTTCATTTTATGCAACATCGCAAAAAGAAAATGGAAAATCGGAGTACATAGAATTGTTGTCCACTTTGAGGAGATGCGGGTGCCATTCATTTTTTGCGCCTAGTTTGAATGACATTTGATGAATTTCGGCTCAAACTTTTCAGTTTTGCCACCTTTATCGTGCAATATCAACGTGAATATTGCACGGAATCAAACAACTTGTCCAAAGTAGGCTTTGTATACCCATGGAGCAGGTACATGCCAAATTTGAGGCTAATATCTCTATCGGTTTTCAAGATATTGCGGGTTTTCACCTCCCATTGACTTAACATTAACATCGCACCCTTAAAATCAACTGTGAACACCTTGCCGGCTCCCTATGCCAGGCGGGGGATTTAAATTCATCACCAGTCTGGCTATCGGTGCGGCGGCTGGCTTTCACACGCTGCTGAATGGGCTCCATGCTGCCGGTACGGCCGGCCCGGTATTTGGATGTCGACGCGGCGTCACGTCACGGCGGCCGTGTGCGCCCGCGTGCTGCAGGCGGCGTGCCAGTGTGACGGGTGAATGGGCGGCCGGCGGAGGGGCGGGCGCTCGCCGAGTGGGGTGCACTCCGCAGCCCATCAGGGTAACGGCGAGGGCCATTTGCGGCCACCGCAGCGACAGAGGACAGTCAGCAGACGCAAGGCGCCAGTCCTTTGTGAGGCGGTGGTGTCTGCCGCCCGCGGTCCACCGCTACTGCTGCTGCTACTGCCGCTACATGATAGACGGCACGGCGGCGGTCTGACTTCACCGAACACCGGCCCATGCAGTCAGCTGCTCAGCCCGCTGGCCGGCTGGCCGAGCCCTGAGTTATGCACCGCATTACGGCCGGTAACAGAAAGCTCCTGTCGCTGGCACACGTGGTCGGTTAGTGAGGGCGGCCCGACACGCGAGGGGGTCGTCCAGCAGCGGGCCGAGGGTCCGCCGGTGGGTCTGGGACGTCCACCCACAACTCATAAGGCTTGACAAAATGAACACAACAAAACGAGCACAACAGTTTTTTATTTACTCTCTTTCTGGGTAGACATTTTGCAGCGACTTTCACCAATCACCAGGTTTTTTATTTACTCTCTTTCTGGGTAGACATTTTGCAGCGATTTTCACCAGTCACCAGGGCAGCTGAAGGCGCGGCAGAGTTGACGGCAGCACCCACAGGACCCAGTGTGGCTGCTGCCGACCGGGGTGTGAGTGCGGTGAGTGGGCGCTGCGGACTGATCTGGCGAAATGGGACCTGATTTGATAGAGCGATTCGCGTAACCGGAGAGCGCAGCTGCCACGTTCCGGGCCCGAAATGAGCTCTGATTTACAGCACAGACTAGGTGGTCATTATTGCACGAGCAGGCGCCGCGGTCGATAAGTGTCAATTGACGGTACCACGCCGGCAGCGGGGAACAGTCTAACGGTATACACCGCGGTCTAGTCATTGTACCGGGGAGAGGGAATAAAAGGTCAGTGCCGCTTTTGAACATGTGATGGATTCGTTGTGTGGGTGGCGATCATTGTGGGCATTCGCCGACAGCAACCATAAACAGCGACCAGCTGAATGCGCCTCCAAATCGATGTTGCCTGGGCAGCATGCGCACTATAGGTATGTCCATTTGAATTATGGTCGGAGCCTTATGAGACAATCAGTGGTGTTGACAAAAATTATGGTCATGTGAATGGATATTAAGGCATTGTTATCGTGTGACCTCACACGCTGGGGCCATTGCTAGTCATATATTGCTTCGTAGAAAGCCGTTAGTATGTCTTTGCTCTGGGTCTATGTCATTTTGCAGCATAACCTTATAAAAGCACTTTCAGTTATGCACACATTAGCTAGATTTAACATCAAAGTGGTCACACATTCATCAACAAGTCTCGTTAGACATCACATTTAAAGTTTCCAGTGCTCTCTCTCTCTCTCTCTCTCTCTCTCTCTCTCTCTCTCTCTCTCTCTCTCTCTCTCTCTCTCTCTCTCTCTCTCTCTCTCTCTCTCTCTCTCTCTCTCTCTCTCTCTCTCTCTCTCTCTCTCTCTCTCTCTCTCTCTCTCTCTCTCTCTCTCTCTCTCTCTCTCTCTCTCTCTCTCTCTCTCTCTCTCTCTCTCTGTCTCTCTCTCTGTCTCTCTCTCTCTCTCTCTCTCTCTCTCTCTCTCTCTCTCTCTCTCTCTCTCTCTCTCTCTCTCTCTCTCTATCTCTCTCTATCTCTCTCTCTCTCTCGGCCCTGTGCCGTGGTTACTGTTTGTCTCTCTGTCCTGCAGAGGTGACACTCCAGCCGGTGACAGATGTGACCTGTGCAGTCCGATCACCACCCGTCTCCGTGATCCATGCACCCCCCCCCCCTCCCCCAAACGGTCCGTGGACCCGTCCCCGGCCGGACAGTGCCGCCGAGCCGTCCGTCAATATGTAATGGCGACGAACAGCGCACTGTGCAAACGCTGCATTAGTCAGGAGCATAAGCGGCCGCTGGCTGGCAAACCTCAGTCGCGCCCGGATAATGACGACTATGTCAACAGCTGGGGGCTGCGGCCGGCCGGCTATCGTGGCAGGACACGGCGTCAGTCGGCGGCACATCAGCTCACAGCGCTGCACGCGGCTGGTGTGAGCTGAGTGCTGCGGGGTGAGGAAAGGTATATCGGCAGGGAGTCGTGACGCGTGCAGACCAGCGGCGGACGCAGCGCCACGCTGGTTCCATAGTTAGGTTGGAGGTTGTGTAGGCCTAATAAGCAGCTGTTTGAGCGGTGTTCAGTTTTAATCACGACGTGCAACGTAAATGCACGGCTCGTTATTGCTATCATTATTCAATAAATCTGGCCAGCAGCAATGCAGCGGCCGGTGTTTGGTTATTCATGACTGCTGCACGACTGGCGATGTCCGTGTAGCCCATTCAGGTCCATTATTATGCAACTTACAATGCGTCATGGCGACAGTTATTTAATACATCAACGGAATACCTATTCACTGCACTCGTCAAAGGTAAATATGCATTGCATTAACCAAACGACATCGAGTTAAAACGTCGGATGACTGTTGACATTCGAAATGTTTGCTCGGCTGATATAAGGTGGTTGAAAATCAAAGCATTGTCACACAGGTGCTGGGAGCGTGAAGAGCAACACCGGAAATCATGCGAGAACACTTATATTGAGAAGCATGCTAGGGATATTGGTGAACCATTGTGGGTCAACTTGGTAAACTTCCCATCACGGCGGAAGGGGAGAAGGTCGTTCGGCCGGGTCATCAACTGCAGCATGACTGCAACGCTGCAGGCACGGAACGAACGGGTCCGAAATCCTCTATGGCAGAGGAGCTGCGAAATTGCATTAAAGTTACAATTGCCGTTTTCATTATGGTTATCTGGCACACATTAAATCACATTTGGTGCGATTCGGTAAGCTTAGGAGATTCTTACTCGATTCTTAGTAGTTTCCACCTTAGGCTGTAGGTAGGTACTATGAAGTTGCTTACCCGCCTGATGTATGAAGCAAATATCATTTTCAACTAAAACATTGAGATAAATTCACGATATTCTGATACTTGCTGTAAAAGAGATTTGGTTAGATTTGATCAAGTGTGGTCATTGGTGCATTAGCCATAAACCCGTCGTGAAAACGGCTGATACGAATTTTGGATATAATCACGAAACACAAAAACAAATAACATTGACGAGTCGTCAGTAGGTTTTTCCCTGGTGTAGGTAAATGCATAGGTATATTGGCCGGCGCGGTAGCTGAGCGCTCCTCCGCCAAGTCCCTAGGACCACCCAGCCGCTTTCTCACGCCGTATCCTCAGGGCTCCATCCGGGATCGGCCGCGTGTACTCACCGCTGGGGTCCTGACTGTCAGACCACATCAGAGAAAACTCTTCTGATGCATTATGCGTCATTATCCATGCAAGCGGCCGCTGGTCCGCTCCATTCCAGTGTGGCCGCCGGTGGTCACAGTCCCCGACTCTGGCGCGGTCTGATCACTGGATCCGACAGTCACTGATCACCGTCCGCGCGCCGTGCAGATGCTCACTGTCCCAGACCCGCGCCCCGACTGAGGCGGCCCACACGGCTCCGGCCGCTCCGCCGCGCGCCCGAGTCCGTCCTGAGTCACTGCACCGGAGCGGACTCAGAGTCTGTCCGAGTCGCGGCGCGGTTCGTCAGGAGAGTCGCCCGGCGCTGCTCCCCGGCCGGCGCCCGTCACCACACTGCCTCCTCCGACGGCAGTGGCGCCGACGGCCGCCAGCTGACGACGGCGCTCGATACTCGGCGGCGGCGGGTCGTGCGGCGCAGTCTGCCCGTCAGGCGGCGGAGACCGCGGCGCCGCACCACGCGCTAACACCGCGCGCCGGCCGGAGCGTGAAATCACCGACGGCGCCGGCCAGAGAGGGTATAATGCTCTTATCTGGGCGCCACTCAGCGGCGGATTAACTTTTGTCGCCGCTGAATCCGGCCTGAGACAGATGGGTCCGACGGCGGGGTGCAAAAACGCTGGCCGGCCAGATACGGCCGATGCATCAGCCGGCAACAATGCCTGGACGGCACAATAAAAAGGGCCCGTCCGGCGCGCGGCCAGATATTTGACGGCGCGGGCGGTGTGGCCCACTCCCCAATTCAAAACAGGCTGCCGCCGGCGGGCATTATGGGGCCGCCGTGAGGCCGGAAACAAACACTCGGCGCAGAAACGGCTCCGGTTCACAGGCGGCTAACGAGATGCCGCGGTGTCGGAATGTGACCGATCGGCGGGCTGTCCCCCTCCCGACGACCCTTCAGCGCCCCTCTGCGACCCTCCAGCGTCCCTCTTCCGGCCACCAGGTGGGCAGAGAAAAGGAGTCGGCCGCTCGGACGGCGGCCATGAAATGAAATGGAGCAGCGGCCGAATTTCCTCTCGGAGCCAGCAAATCGTGGCCGATTTTCGCCGCGCGAGACAGGGATCCAGGTCGTTAGAATCAGCAAAATATAATTGTCAGAGCTATTTCATCTGGGCAAAGAGATGGCCCCCATTAGGCGGGCGTTACAAATCACCTAATTTCGCCGCCGGTCGGCGCCGGCACATTTGTTATATTCGCAAACGCGGCGCGTCGGCCGCCCGACACTAAATTGAATCCCGGCCTAATTGGGAGCGGTGGGTCCGATCCATCCAGGGGCGATCCTTCCGACTGTCTGACCGCGATCCGCCCGTCTGTCTGACCGCGGCCCGTCCGTCTGTCTGTCCGCGGTCCGTCCGTCGGTCTATCCGCGGTCCGTCTGTCTGTCTGTCTGACCGCGGTCCGTCTGTCTGTCTGACCGCGGTCCGTCTGTCTGCCTGTCCGCGATCCGTCTGTTCGTCTGTCTGACCGCGGTCCGTCTGTCTGTATGACCGCGGTCCGTCTGTCTATCAGATCGCGATCCGTCCGCCGGATCGCTATCCTTCCATCAGTCGCGATTAGTCTAGCCCTGAGCGATCTGGGATCTACCGCACAAAGTAAGTTCCAACTCTAAAGCCTGTTTCCAGGACAGGCTCAGAGATATCCTCTTGCATTTTAATCGATACGGTGTTGTCATATTTGTGTTGGAATTCAGCCGCATCCGTTTCTTAGAAATCCGATACCAGACATAATTTGAAATTGAATTGACACCCAGTGACTTTGGTCATATCCAGCGCAGACTGTATCATGCTTATCAAATGCCACAGACGGATGGGTGCATTTCGACTGGACTCTCACCACTTACAAGTCGAAAGGCCAGACAGCCTGATAAATCAATTTCTTTTTTATGAGAGGTTTTCTAAAAGTTTATCATGTTTCGCCCTTTTTCGCCTTCGGGAGTATGTGTTTCATCACACCATATGTTTAGACTTCACGGTCGTCCACATTTATTAGCAGGGGTCAGGGAGTGCTCCCGGGTCAATGTCAGCTCGGCGTCTGCCAATCTGGTTTTATTGGGTCTGGCTCTGTCTGAAATGTCCATCTGGCTCTCGCTGCGCCCGGGGGATATTTGCATTGGAGCGGAGATCGGCAGTCGGACGACACAATCGGACCGGCTCAGAGCTCCGACCCGCGCCCATAGTCCGCGCTGATTCGTCTCGGAAACCCCGCCAAACGAGCCAGCTAAAAAGGATATCAAACCATGTTGACAATGGCCGCGACATTTGGAGTGAAGATGGCACTAATGTGTGCACTGTGCAGTCGTCTTGATGACTTTTTTGCATAACACCTTTTGTCTTTTAATGCCTACTAAAAAAAGCACCTGGTTGACTGTTAACGGTCGAAATTCATTGCTCATTGCTTGTTGACTTTTGATTTAAATTTTTTTTCGATTTTCGAAGTACTTTTTCGAAGCATTTCGATTTTTACATATTGGTAGGTAATATGGATTGGAGCCTTCTGAAAAGCATCAATAACATTCTCAGCATTGGCACAGGATATGAAGAACACTCCGCAAATATGGACTATTTTCATTACAGAGACGCGTTCCTCCTCTGGCAAACATTCCTTCCCCGGAGGCAGGGCCCGGGGCTCCTCTCGCTCTCCCTTTAAATCATATCAGCCACTGTCTGTGTTGGTGCTGACAAAACTTGGTCGGCCGGCGGCGCTCGCCGAGAGGAAGTCGGCTCGGCGCGGCCATTTACAATGTTATCACGGCGACATCAAACACGGCTGTGGCAGTCGGCAGTCGGTCGGTCGGCCGGGACCTCGCCGGGGCGGTGGCGGCGTGGGTAAGGATTCCCGCCGTCAGGCGACTGGTTGCCCACTCTGCCCTCCACTCCACACCCACACCCACCCACACAGGGCAGGCACGGTGGTGCGGGGGGATCAGCACAGATCTGTCAATCGGATACCAGCTTTATGATACAGAACCGATACCAACTTGGTTTGTAGCATTTCAATTCAACCTTTTTATTGTAAATCCGCACTAATGTATGTGATGCTCCTAATTCGTTTTCCGGCTCTGCAACTGACATCACTATAGTCAGTACACTACCCACCCCCGTGCAGGTAGAGATGGCCGCGCCGGCGCGCACGTGCCACCCGCCTCCGGCGCCCCTCGGCGGCCTGGTTAATTAATGGCGCGTGCCCGGCAGAGGCCGTTAAAGCCGTGCCATTTCACGACATGGGCAGGGTAGGATGGCTGTGCGCCGGCCAGCGGCCGCTGATAATGTGCAGGCCACACTGAGTGGATCACGGCAGCACAAGGCACGGCGCGCGCGCCGCCGGGCCCCACGGGGCGGCCGCCGTCGGAAACGAACGGCCCACATGCAATTGATTTCACATCCGAGCTATTTTACGAATACCTGGTAAATGAGTTCATGGTAGCTGGCATTGCTGTTCCGTGTTCACGGGAACGTGTTATTTGTGATCACTATTATTATTGACCACTACAGTTCGATCTTATGATCATTCTTTCTTGAATTGCAATAGTAGCAGTGATGCCGTTTTATTCAATATTGAACCATGTGCTACAGCTAATGATCACTCAACATTGCAATTAATCTCTTCTTTTTTTTGCATATATCTTTTCATGACGGTAAAGAAAATGAGCGGCGCAACGAATCATTCAGGGTCCCTCATGACGTTTACAAACTGCGTGAAGCGAGCCTACGTTCTGTCATATCCTCCGACAAGCCCCTCTTTCCTCAACATCCCTCCTTTTTCGCTACGACACAACTTTCGACGGAACATGCGTCGTCACTAAAATTCGACGCTTTTCTCTAACCCCACATCCGTGCTCCAGTGAATTTCTGACAAGTTGGACAGAAATTTTCAAAAAAGGTACAGTCACTCGATTTTTCTCAAGTTTGTCTTGGCAGATCAAGCAATGTCAGAACAAGCTTACGAACATGCCTACATATTTGATCAGGCTCGGATGATTTGGCACTTTTTAAAAGGCATTTTTCGTGCTTCTTGCTATTTTTCGTGCTTGAAATTCACGAAAAATGGATGTGGGGTTCGAAATAAAAATTCGTCTGTTAATGTCCGTAGCACTGAGCCGATGGAAAGGAGACACCATAGCGAAGTGGTCGCGTTATCAGTCTAATGACAGAGGGTGTCACAGTTATAGGCCAGCTGTCTGTGTATGACCTGGTCAGTGGGGTGTGCACTGTGCAGTGTGCAGCATTTGCAGCGGTACCTACCCCCAGTATCGCAGCCGACTCCGGTCTCCTGTGCAGTGTCTGTATACACACGGTATACATGATGAACAGAGCAGAGAGGGGCGGACGAGTGGCGCTGATAGCGGGGGTGGGGAGGCACATACGCCCGATCCATTACCGATCCGAGGTGCAGGGCTGGTGAGAGATGGCACGATGGCGGCCCACGCCGGTACAGACACGTGAGCGGCATCAGCGACCTCATAATTCAGACGGAGCTGTCCAGCGCGACATTTATGGCACTTGTGTGGGTGGGTGCGGCCGGCCCTGTCCTGGTCACCACACCGGCGCCCGGCCTACCGAGTACCGACCTGACCCGCTCACAGGTGACACCCTTACGACACAGGCGCCCTGACCTTCCCACCTGTCCCGCTTACAGGCACACCAATACGACACCACGCCGGCGCCCGGCCCGAGCTGTCCCGCTCACAGGAGCGCCAATACGATATCGGAGCTCGACGACTCCCGCGGTAGCGCAGAGAGAATAGAGAAGCTGCTGCGAGACGGCATCTGCAACTGTGCCGCGCTCTTACGGATAGATCGCCTGCTGGACCGAGATGGGTGTGCAGGCGAGCCTCGAGCCACTACAGAGGTGATAACACATCGCCCGGTGTATTCCGAGTGGATGCGCGCACATCTCTCGCCCTCATTTTCACATATCACGATTCCCACTCAGCTGGGCGCGTATGTATGTATGTACACCAGCGCGTTGAGATGCAGTTGTGGGCAGTTCTATCTTTGTCGCTCTGAAAATAGCCCTCTGCAGTCAGTGTTATCCGGACCTGCGGCCGGTGTCTCACGTCTGCCATCATAGTGATCAGGTTTCTGTCATGTAGCGCCATGCGGCACATCGCTCTCTCTCCCATGACGTCGTCTGTTTCTGTCAGCCGACGGCCGCCGGGCGCGCCAGTTTATCGGCGCGCGCCATTAATCGTCTCCGCCGCGGCGCCGGTGCACCGGGCGTGCACTTCCACCACCGCGCCGACGGCGGCGACATCGTCCGTCATCGCTAATCGGCATTTTTGCCCGCGCCGCTGATGGCGTTTCTTTCTGACGGGGGTGATGACGTCAGGAAGGGAGCGGGGCGGGAGGGGGCGCCGGGGAGAGCTGTCGGGGCCGGCCG